AATTTATTTAATCACTTTCACCAGAGTGTGGTGAGGGTCGCACAACAGAGCGAGGCTCCAAATTAAGTGCGCCCTATATCCCACCCATCCCACCCCAGGGGAGGACATCCATCACACAGTAATCTCGTGTGTGGGAAATTAACGTCTCCTACCCCAACCCTGCAGGAGACGGGACCTCCATTTATTCGTCCCTATCCGAGAAGACTAGAATATCTAACCATTTCTTGATGTTATAGAAAGGCAGCAAATTCTTCTCAATTATTTTAAGACCCTGAGTGTTGGTCCGGCCGGGGCTCGAACCCTCGACCTCCCGCACAACAGTCCAGCGCTCTATCCATTGAGCTAACCGGGAGGCGGTCCTTTGTGTGTGTGTGTTATTTACGTGGTTCATTGGAAGTATATAGAAACACTCATAAATTACTCTAAAGTATATTTTAAGTGTAAATTACGCAAGTTATTCTTGAGACCATAAATAACATATATCAGCGTGAGCACAAATTGTGTGTGTGAGTCAAAAAAATAAGGAGGTATATTTTATGATTTGATTAAAGGAAAGGGGCGGCTGGACACAGGCATAAAATAGTTTAGCCACTGTAAAAGGAGCACTCTTACGAAACCGTCCTATAATTTGAAAACCCGAAAAATTCAGTTATTTCATTATAATGTGAATTTTTAGCGATTAATAAAATCTTTCCAATAATAATTTTAGTTGAAAGTCAATTCTAGGGCGAGAAATTACGATTTGAAAACCGTTCCGCCATTAATTTTCGTAATCACTTGGCAGACTCAAGAAGACTAGCGCGAGTTTGGAGCGTGACATAGATTACTCATTTGACGCGCCGTGCTCGTGGATAATTTTCAAAAACAGTATTTTGATCGTATATATTGTTTTTATAACACTAAGACTAAGACCATTTCACTAAATTTCTCGAGGTTTCCGTATAAATATAAAATGACGCCGTACGCCAACAGTGGTTTGAGTAATCTACGTCACAATGCGAGTGACCGCTGACCGAAAATAAGTTGGCCGTGATTACGAAAATTAACGCGGAACGGTTCTCAAATCGCAATTTCTCGCCCTAGAATTGACTTTCAACTAAAATTATTATTGAAAAGGCTTTATTAATCGCTAAAAATTCATATTATAATGAAATAACTGAATTTTTCGGGTTTTCAAATTATAGGGCGGTTTCGTAAGAGTGTTCCTTTAAGAAAAGTACATCTCGATGAACTACCCTTTGTATTTCATTATTATGTAAGTGATATATCAACCAGCTTATGTCGGTTTCACATTTCTGGGAAACAGTAATCCAAGACAAACGACTTAGAATGTTCTTCTTTTCTGTGATTGGTTTACCACGAAAATAACAAGCTCTTGATACCAAGAATAGCTACTGAAGGAAATTCACAATACTTCATTGTTTCGAATTTGTTTTCTTAGAAATCGTTTAGCTTTGTTCGCTTGCTTTTGACGGATAAAATGGACATTGGAACGTTCTTCCATAATCTTCGAGAAGAGGTGTCTTGTTCAGTTTGTACTAATATTTACAGGGATCCAAAACAACTCTCGTGTCTCCACAGTTTCTGTCTGCAGTGCTTGAAACAGTGGCATAGAGAAACCCATGGCCGAGACACTATCAGATGCCCGAAGTGCCAAACTATTAGCAGAGTGCGTGAAAGTAGCGATTTGAAAGACCTTCCCACCAGTTTTTATCTGAACAGCTTGATTGATGTACTAGCAATTAAGGAATGTAAAACCAGCCAGGTGAAATGCAGAAATTGTGACAACACCAGACCAGAAAGTTCGTATTGTTTCCAGTGCTGTGCATTTTATTGCCAAGAGTGCTTAATTGGACACAACATCCTGAAAAGCTACAAAGATCACCGTGTCCTGGCGCTGGAAGCCTTTCAAGACGAGGACTATGAGGATGTAATGAAACGACCTGCCTTTTGCCGTAAGGAAGATCATAACAATAAAGAGCTGGAGTACTTTTGCAAGAGTTGTGAAATGCCAGTTTGCCAATTTTGTGTCACAGTGGACCATGAAAGTCATGATAAGGAATTAATCAAGAAAGAAGCAGAAAAACAGAAGAGTGAGATGAAGTCATTGATTGAAAAGCAGAGACGCAATTTGCAAGCAAAGATGGAAGCCGTTAAAAAAATTGATGAAGAAGTCGCTGAACTTACGCAACATGGCGAAGACGTGAAGAGACACGTTCAAACATTTGTTGACAGTCTTTTAGCTGTTATTGAAACGAAAAAGCAGGACATACTATCCTCGGTGGATGAAGAATCGAGCAAGTCTCGTGAACTTTACAAGGAGCGAAAAAACAGGATTCAGCAACAAATAGCGGTGATAGAATCTTCCCTGGAAACCGCTGATAAGCTATTAAGTCGTAGTACAACAAACGCTGAAATCGTTCAACTGAAGAAATTATCAGGCGCCATCTTCAAAGGGGTTGATCAGACTGAGCCAATAAACCGTAACACCAAAATCTTTCCGACTGGTTTGGTTTTCGAGGAAAATCAAAAGCTGGTGGGGACTTTCAAAACTGAAAGAATTGGAACTTTGCTAATTAAATGTGAATTGGAAGGAAGGCAGTCCACTACAAAGCAGCCACTACAAATCTACTACAAATCAGGCACTACATGGAGGACCTGGAGGACAGCGACCTGGAGCGACCTGGAGGACAGCGTACCTGGAGGACAGCGACCACGTTGAGTGGAGATGAGAAATGAACGGGGACAAGAACGCGCAACGAAAGTCCGAATAAGTTACTGTGTAAATGAAGTCTATCAGACCAAACATACTCCAAAAGACCAAGGAAGATGTAAACTGACTGTCAAGGTAAACGGAGAACATGTTCGTAGAAGTCCTTTCAGTAATACCATTTCGGCTCAAATTAAAAGTTGTTTTATCTTTCGGCGAACTTAGTCCGTTTATAGAAATGTTTAAGTATCCCGTGGGGGAGGGGATGGATGAGATAGCTGTATATCAGGTCAGGAGCAACAAACCTATGGTGACATTCAACAACTGGCATGTTGGTTTCACTCATGTTCAGTCGCCGGGCATGTGCAAGTACCAATTCTTTCTTTAAGGAAGACATAAGAAATAGTAGAAGTAATGTATGATTTCCGAAAAAAATTGAAACAGTCATAGAAATTAATGGATACATAAGCAAGGAAAAGGAGGCTTAGGAAATATCTAAAGGAAACAAAAACTTAAAAAAGCTAAGGATTTTTTTCACTGATAGATTATTCAATTACGAGTGTGTTGATGATTTACTGAAAAAATATTCATTTATAGAACAGCGTGACTCGTGCTTGTGCATAAGGAATAAAAGATTTGTATTTGGCTTTAGTCTAATTTCAGAGCTGAGTAAAAAGTTTCCAGCAGTCTGATTGGTCGAGTGGTTCCTTATATGACGCTATATGAACCGCTCCATGCGGATTAAACAAAATGTTAAAAGGTTAATAAATGTTACTAAAATGTTATGATTTTGGAAATTTCTCTGTTGCTCAGCTCTGAAATTATACTAAAACAATTATTCGCCTCAGGTTCGGTGAATATTGTCGAATAGTCCCCTCCACTTCCACTCGGGGATTATTCGACGATATTCACCGAACCTGAGGCGAATAATTGTTAAATATTCCCAGCTTAAATTACACTTAACCCCCATGAGTGACCAAGACAGAATTTCTTCTTATAATACTAATACAGTATAATGCAGGCAAGTGATGAGAGCAAAGAAACATAGCAACTAAGGAATTGTTAGTTGATCAAATACTACATTCCCCAAACTTAGATTTTAAGAATTGTATAGCAGGTAGTAACGAAAAAAGTTGGTGGCCTGTGGTACCCAGACTCTTCCAGAGTAAAGCCTTGATTGTGTAGCTCTAGTACGGCGGTGTAATCGCATACTTCATATTTTAATCAGAGAATCTGTCAGCTTTTCAACAAAACAATTAAAATTTTTAGTCAATGTATCAAATGTTGATGGAACAGAGAATTAACTCTAAAGCGTAAATTAAAGTGCTAAATGAAACCCATAAAAAATCCACTGAGTGTTAACCCTCGCAAAGGGTGTCAGGGAACCACTCGAGGTATAGAAAGCAAAAAAAAAGAAAAAGAAAAATTCTTGTGACCTCAGTGGGAATCGACATTGCTCGCTATGTTGTTTATTTGTATAGTATTAAATATATTAATCAGTAGTTTCACTAGCAACCTTTGTGGCTTCCCTTGGTGTTGATGTATAGGATCCCATGAAAATGGGTTCCCACTCCACTGATGAGCAATCTCGTGATCAGTGGGTAAAAAGGAAAAAAAGTGTATGCAAGGGTGGAAATGTGTATATAAAATGAACATTAAAGTTAGTGTTAAAATTGAGGAAGCGACTTCTGAAACAACAGCATGCTCCTAAACTCAATTTAAAATTGTAAAAAATATATGTTATATATTATTAAAATAAAAAATAAAATCAAAATAGAATAAAATAAAATGAAGTTAATATTATATAAGAGTAACTATTAGAAAGAGGGGGCAAAGCATTTAGGGTTAAATTCCTAATGTTATATTAGAGTTTTGGTTATAGTTAGCCCACCAGTTTTTTTAGGGTTAGTGTTTGTTAGGGTTAGGGTTAATGCTAGATTAGGTTTTAGGGTTAGTGCTAGATTAGGGTAGGGTTAGGGATTGGGTGGGGTAAAGGTTAGTAATAATCCTTTTTTCCTATCCTATTCAATAACCCCTTTTCCCTTCCTACAGTCAAAAACAGAGACCCCATTCCACAAACCCTAAGCAAACCCTTACCTATTACTAACCCCAACCCCACCCAAACCCTAAGCCTAACCCAACCCTAATCTAGCCCTCACCCTTACCCTAACCCTAACTAACACTAACCTTAACCATAATATAACTCTAACCCCAACTATAACCAAAACTCTAATATAACATTAGGAATTTAACCCTAAACCCTAAATGCTTTGCTTCCTCTTTCTAATAGTTACTCTTATATAATATTTTAACTTCATTTTATTTTATTTTATTTTGATTTTATTTTTTATTTTAGTAATATATAACATATATTTTTTACAATTTTAAATTGAGTTTAGGAGCGTGCTGTTGTTACAGAAGTCGCTCCCTCAATTTTAACACCAAACTTTTATCTTCATTTTACACACTCATTCCCACCCTTGCATATGCTTTGTTCCTTTTTTACCCACTGATCACGAGATTGCTCATCAGTGGAGTGGGAACCCATTTTCATGGGATCCCATACATCAACACCAAGGGAAGCCACAAAGGTTGCTAGTGAAACTACTGATTAATATATTTGATACTATACAAACGAACCTGAGGCGAATAATTGTTAAATATTCCCAACTTAAATTACACTTAAACCCCCATGAATGACCAAGACAGAATTTCTTCTTATAATACTAATACAGTATAACGCTGGCAAGTGATGAGAGCAAAGAAACATAGCAACTAAGGAATTGTTAGTTGATCAAATACTACATTCCCCAAACTTAGATTTTAAGAATTGTATAACGGGTAGTAACGAAAAAAGTTGGTGGCCTGTGGTACCCAGACTCTTCCAGAGTAAAGCCTTGATTGTGTAGCTCTAGTACGGCGGCGGTGTAATCGCGTACTTCATATTTTAATCAGAGAATCTGTCAGCTTTTCAACAAAACAATTAAAATTTTTAGTCAATGTATCAAATGTTGATGGAACAGAGAATTAACTCTGAAGCGTAAATTAAAGTGCTAAATGAAACCCATGAAAAATCCACTGAGCGTTAACCCTCGTAAAGGGTGTCAGGGAACCACTCGAGGTATAGAAAGCAAAAAAAAAGAAAAATTCTTGTGACCTCAGTGGGAATCGACATTGCTCGCTATGTTGTTTAGACCGAGCAATTATAGCAACTAATTTCCATTCTCCTGTTTTTCTCACTCTCTTTTCTTATCTTTCCTTGGTACCCCAAGCAGATCGCAGATCTTGCTAAACAGAGAAGCGTAAAAAATGGAGAGGACCCCTTATGAAAAGGACTTATAAAGTCTTCACTTTTGAAATTTATTTAATCTATGAAAACAAAACTTTTCCAATCTAAAATTGTAATTGTCGGTGAGTCTTTTTTGGGGGGCTACTGGTGCCTTTTATATAATCACGTTTGTGTCCCTAGCGACTCCAAATGAATATGTGGGATGTTGCACTCATCCTTAGCAGACCCCATAAAACAATTTGACCAAAACAAAACGTTTGAATAATAATCTTTGTCTTTGGGAAAAAAATTCGACCTTTGGACCACCGCCAGATATTATAACAGAAGACGATGGCATGTCTTTGGGGACAGAAGTGAACCTAGTGCGGTAAGCGAGGGATAACACATCCCCAGTTTCCCGCGCCTGAACTGCGAACACCGGGGAAAATGATGTAGAATTGGAGACCAAATGATGAGAAGAAAACGAACAGCTTGCAATTTGAGACTCGAGCGTTTCTAAGGAAGCGCGAATAAAGATAGATTTAATTGAAGGTTGGGGCAGCTGAGGGACACAGACAAGAAATATGTCTGAGACACTTAGAACAATATATCTGAACTGTCGTTATTTAATTTGTAAGTGATACCGGTTTGTGTTACTTTCACATTACTGGTTATTAGGAATCCAAAACAAACGGCTTAGAATGTTCTTCTTTTCTGTGATTGGTTTACTTCGAAAACAACAAGCTCTTGATTACAAGAATAATCACAGAAGGAAAGTCACAAGACTTTATTGTTCCCTGATTTCATAGAAATCGTCTAGCTTTTGACGAATAACATGGACATCAAAACGTTGTTTCGTAATCTGCGAGAAGAAGTGTCTTGTCCAGAGTGTACTAACATATACACAGATCCAAAACAACTTCCATGTCTCCACAGCTTTTGTCTGCAATGCTTAAAACAGTACAGAACAAACCGAATGTTTATCCGGCCGGATACAGTCAGATGCCCGAAGTGCCAAACTATTAGCGAAGTACCTAAAAGTGGTGATATGAAAGATTTTCCAACCAGTTTTCATCTTAACACCTTGATTGATGTGCTAGCAATTAGAGAATGTACCATCAGCCCGGTGAAATGTGGAAATTGCGACAAGAGCTGCCCGGAAAGTTCGTATTGTTTCCAGTGCGTTGCCTTTTATTGCCAAGAGTGCTTGGTCGCTCACAACATGTGGAAGAGCTACAGAGAGCACCGTGTTTTGGCGCTCAAAGACTTTCAAGGCAAGGACTATGAGGATGTGATGAGACGACCTGCCTTTTGTCGCAAGGAAGATCATAGCAACAAAGAGCTGGAGTACTTTTGCAAGAGATGTGAAATACCAGCTTGCCAACTTTGTGTCATAGTGGACCACGGAGGTCATAATAAGGAATCAATCAAGAAAGAAGCAGGAAGACAGAAGAGTGAGATGAAGTCATTGATTGAAAAGCAGAGACGCAATTTGCAAGCAAAAATGGAAGCCGTTAATCGACTTGATGAAGAAATCGCTAAACTGACGCAAAAAGGCGAAGACACGAAGAGGAACGTTCAAACATTTGTTGACGAACTCATTGCCATTATTGAGGCGAAAAAGGAAAAGATACTATCATCGGTGGAGAAAGAAACGAGCAAGTCGCTTGAACCTGCAACGAAGAGAAAAATCGAAATTCAACGTCAAATAGAAGTGATAAGATCTTCGCTGGAAACCGCTGATAAACTTTTAAATCGAAGTACAAACGCTGAAGTTGTTCAAATAAAACCTAAATCTATATGTGCCATCTTTAAAGAAGTTGATCAAAACGAGCCAATTGACCATGACACCAAAAGCCTTCCGGCTAATTTTATTTTCGAGAAAAATCAAATGCTGTTGGACACCGTCAAAACTGAAAAAATTGGAACTTATCAAGATATGCAATTTATCAGAGCAAATCAGTCTATTGCCGAAGGAAAAGGACTTGAGGAAGGAACTGTAAACTGTAAAGCAAAGTTTACACTGACTACAAGGAATGCCCATGGAGATCAGTGTTATAATGAACGTGACCATGTTACAGTAGAGATCCAAAATGAACGAAGATGGGAATGCGCGACGGATGTACGAATAAATGACTGCAAAGATGGAGTCTATCAGATCAGCTTTACTCCCGAAGAACAGGGAAGGTATGAAGTAACTGTAAAGGTAAACGGGGAACATGTTCGTAGAGAACCTTTTACCGTACTTGTAAAATCTTTTCAGCTCAAACCTGTTCTATCTTTCGGTGAAAAAGGTTCCGCTGTGGGAATGCTTAAAAATCCTATGGGGGTAGCGGTAAATTCCAAGGATGAGATCGCTGTAACTGATTGGTCCAACCACAGAATTCAAATCTTTGACAGTCACGGAACTTACATAAGATCCTTTGGTCGCAAGGGTAACAAAGCGGGGGAATTCGATTATCCACAAGGAATAGTATTCCATAACAATGGGAATATTTTCGTCGCGGATAGTTGTAATAATAGAATTCAGATCTTTAGCGGGGAGGGTAATTACGTAGGAAACTTTGGTAGTTTCGGAGGGTTTGAAGACGAACTCAAAAATCCTTGGGGTTTGTCTGTGGACAGTGACGGAAATATCATCGTTGCTGATAAAGAAAACAGTTTGATTAAAATCTTTTCTCCCAATGGAAACTTCCTTATGGAGATAGGTGGGCTGGGGTCTTTGAAATCTCCAAGGCACTGTATTCAGCATGATAAATATCTCATAGTCTCAGATAGTGGTGAACATTGTATCAAAGTTTTTGACAGGAATGGAAACTTTCTGTACAAGTTTGGAAAGAAAGGTACAGGGGACGGGGAGTTTGACAAACCCTGCTTTATGACAATGGACAAATCAGGACACTTGATGGTCTCTGATCAATGTAATCACAGAGTACAAGTATTTGAACCAAATGGTAAGTTTATTGGCAAGTTTGGAGGAAATGGTGGCAATTTAGGAGAGTTTAAAAATCCTGTGTCCCTTGCAATTTTAAGTAATTACCAAATTGTCGTATGTGAATGGAACAACCATCGTATTCAGATATTTGAATAAAAGTAACATAAATAGCAGATCAGGAGCAGTATACCTTAGATTGACTCAAAGGTGTTGGCATGCCGGTTTAACTCAACGGTCAATAGTCGAGCATACGCAACGGGGTCAATTTTGGCAAACTGCGCGCCAATTACCTCTAAAAAGGAAAATATAAAAAATAATCGGCGTACCTCGACTTAGTCCTGCTGAATGACCATTAATATTCTTAATTCATCTTATCATTTGACGATTCTGTGGAAATCTTCTCCACTCTCTGCTGTTACAGTGGTCAGCGGTTAAATACGACCACTCTGCCCCTTGGCTTGAGTGGTTGTAAAACAGCAATGCTCTTACAGTTCTAATGCAAGATATGGGGCCACCATTTTAGCCACTTCTTTACCGTTTTAACGTTCCTGCATACGCAGACGTTTGACCGCTGAGTTTGTCGGTTTGCATAGAGGACTTTCTTAAAATATTTATTGATAAATTACGCAGTAGATACGTCATATAATGTTTTGATATGAACTATGACGTCTCGTTTATTAATTTTTTGGCCCATTTACTTGGGATGGATCCCTTACCCGAAGCGGACCCAGAAATGTTTGATAGGGGGGTGGGAGGTGGGGCGCAATCTTTGTAGGGAAGGTGGGGGTCCAAACCTTGTTTCAAAAACACAGTTTCTTATTATCTATGATAGATTGTAAATAAGCTAGGAGGTAGGTCGTAGTTTTTGATACATTAGTTGGGTAGTTACATGTGATCCTGTTGTTAGAGTTATTTTGGTCTCAGACAGGTATTAGAAATACCAACAAGGCTGATGAGGTGGGAGGGAGGGCTGGACCCCCTAGACCCCTCCCCCCTGCATTCTCCACTGATTTTGTCATGAGCAGGGGAAGAGAAAACATCTTCAAAATTTGTCCTGTGTCGTTTATCAGTAGTCCGTGAAGGTTGCTTTAAATTTATTCCAAAAATATTTTGCATTTGATTAGGGAAGGTACGTTTTTTATTGGGGGGGGTG